TCCGGATATTTTTGAATCCGCAAATCATCCTAGCTTTGCGGATTCAAAGATCTCCACGTCCACACGTAGCATAATCGAGTTTGCCCGGCCACACGTATCCGGATTCACTCTCAGTCGACGTCACCCAGCTAGTTTGTAAAGCTAGCGCTATGTTTGTTTCATAGGAAGTTTTTTCGTCATTCTTCTTCAATAACTGTATCGCTGACAAAATTGTCCCTCCAGCACTACTTTGCTCGTTTAACTTTCGTCCGACATGGAAAGAAGTCTCAGAATGTCGAGCAGCCGTTTGACATCGTAATCATAGCTAGATTTAACGGCACACACTTTATAAGACTTTAAACTGAAGTCCAAGAAGCCAGAGGTGACAACATTGCGCTCGGCACCATCTTGAATACAGTAGAACCTCTCCTTTGAGACACCTCCATTCAGGGGACACAAACTCTGGTCCGGGAAAAACGTTCACATGATCTTTGCATTTGTTACCTCTATTAATTGAAGGGTCACCTCTTTTCAGGAAAAGGGACACTTTTTCTGGGTTCCGAAACTCGGGGTTAACCTTCATTCAGTGGGACACCTTAGCGTTCAAACTAGAGTGATTGATCACAAAAATCGCTGATAAATTTAAGTGTTCACTAGGCACAACGGCTACAGATTTCAAAGTAACATGAACTATCTCACTTAAAATCGGTGTACTGCACTTGTGGGAATTCAACACACAACAATGCAAAGATATTTTTAAGTTGATCATGATTTTTTAATTATTATGTGGCTACTTGAAATAATGACTTCAGCAGATTTCAAGGCAGAATAAAAGAAATATATTTTATTTTTTGGTTAATTATTAACAAACCCCACCCCAACCTCAATTCAGGGAACACTTGCCTTGGTCCAGAGGGTGTCCCCAGAATAGAGGTTCTACTGTAGTCACGGTAAAGAACTGGGCTCGATTTTAAGTCACTGGATAAAAAATATCTGGATCTAGCGTCCACACGATTCCGGATTCATAGCGTAGTAAAAAATTTCCACTTTGGAGAGCGAATTCAAAAAGTTGCGGATTCGTATGGTGGATTCACCGGATACGTGTGAACGGAAGCCGAATCCTCAAAGAAAAAGTTGCGGAGTCAAAAAAATCAGGATACGTGTGGACGAGGCATAAGTTTCTTCCCATTTTTTTTTTTTTAAAGGACCACCTCTTGTTATCCTGGAATTTGTTCCTCATGGCGATCTTCTTGGATATCTAAGAAAAAGTAATGGAGAAAATGATGATTTCTATGATTTTAAAAGCAAGGACGTGCCATCAAAGATACCAGAACGACAACTTTACCAATTCTCAGCTGATATCGCCCGTGGAATGGAATTTATCTCGGCGCACCAGGTTTGCTGATCTCCATGAATGCTTTGCCTTTTCGCTGTTTCCAGAGATATATATAGATATGGATTGCTTGTGTAGAGACAAGAAAGATTACGGGAACGCTAAGCAAAAGTATCAAATTTGTCTTGACGAAGCTAGAAAAGTTAGTTACATCGCATGCCTTGCGAGGCGTCAAGGCTCTGTGCTCTTGTTGCCGCCAACTTAAAGATGAAAACAGTGGACTCGGATTGGTTAGATTCCCCCACAAAAATTCACCGATGCGGTTACCCGAAAAAATTAGGTACTCGTGCGCCGAATAAAAACGCTGGCAAATATATAGTTCAGCGAAGAAGGAACTATATAGTACAGTCTGAGCTCTACTTAATTGAGCTGGCATTAAAGATTTAAAACAATCTTTAAGGAGATCCATCTTTGCAGCTAAGAAGGATTTTCGTGGCGAGCACTTTTCGTTATTTTCGTCACCTCCGTTTAAACTCACAACGAAACGACGCAAACAAAAGCCCAGGCACAAGAGAATGAAAAATCGCTTCGTTACACTGTTTGTTATGGCTCGAGATTAGAAGCTTTGCCCCCGCAATTTTAAGCTTGGATGACGAAAAAAATAAGGAAAATCACAATGCCTGCGTCAGAAAATTTATTGGCAAACCTTTTTATGTAATGATTAAACACGTTATTGTTTCTGGTCGTAGCTTATCCACAGAGATCTGGCAGCGCGAAACATCTTAGTTGGTGAAGGGCTGCGCTGTAAGATTACCGATTTTGGCATGGCAAGGGACCTGGGCCGAGAGGAAATCTATGTTAGAAGATCCAATGTAAGTACGCGTATATAATAAGGACAGCTGTCCTGGGACACAAGCGCGGTGGAAAGCCCTTTGGCCGCTTTCTTTATGCCAAATCGAAAATAAATTTCCTGCCGGTTACGATTAATTTAAGACTGCCTGTTCGATAGGCAAGCGCACATCGTAAGCCGTATCGTAACTGCGCTGTGATTGCTGTCAATTCTATGTACCAAACGATTTCTGAATTCAAGGTTCTGCCTTTATTGACAGGGTTTGATGCCTGTAAAATGGATGGCAGTTGAGTCGCTAATAAATCAAGTTTATACTACAGAAAGTGATGTGTAAGTAAAATGAAAGCATAGAAGTTAGGCATGCATTCGACATGCGTGCATAAGTTGGTTCTCAAATCAATATTTGTTTCCATGAGAAGGCTCAAGGTGTTGCTCACAAGAACGCAGCGCGGAAGTCGTATCACCCGTCAAGCGGATCTTTCGGTATCTTGAGAGAATATTTTAGCAATGGTCTACACATCATCTACTTGTAGACTATTAAAGGTTTGTACTAGTCGTTTTATTAGTGAGCGATATCATCTAAACGCTCGCTGGAGTCAAAGCCGATGATTGGTTAGGAGAAAAAAAATGTCTAACTTAATTGTACGAATCGCGTTTTGTGTTAGGGGTTTAAAGCGGTGTTTTCTTTCACTAACTGAGCCTCTCGCCTGGGAAATAAGGCGTCGCGAAGTATTGGAAGAGCATGAATGTAAGAAGTAATGTGTAGGCCGAAATGCCATAGTCTTCCAGATTCCACCTAAAGCCGGGCTTAAATAAGGGTGTATTGCAAGGCGGTCTAGTTTACTCAATAAATAGTACATGGAGGATAACGAAATTGTTTAGACTGTCTGGTAGAGTAGAACACACACACACACACACACAAAAAACTAAAACAGACTAATGAAAAATGAAATCTTCTGATTTTAGATGGAGCTACGGGATTGTCCTGTATGAAATTTTCACCCTTGGTAAGTAGAACAGCAGATTACCTCTAGGCATTTTGCATACGAGACGGGAGGCATAAATTAAAACTTTCATGAATGAACGACCCCGGCCCAAACATACGATTGAGTTATATTGCGAAACTGATTCAGGGTCAGACATCAGCATATGTAAGACTCTTGTAGCGGTGTTTCCTACCAGCAGTAAATCCTGATAAGCAAAGTGCTGACATGTGGTCACATTTCCAGCAAGGATGGCACGGCCTGTGTAGCAAAGCTGAAAGCATTCTTGAACGCCTCCCACTAGTGAGGCATTAGCCTGCGTAGCAGGCGCGTGGAAGTATTTGGTTGAAGAAAGAACCGGCGCGAGAGAGACACACACACGCGAGGGAAGAGGGGCTCCCTATCCCCTCGCCTGTCCCCCTCGCGCGCCCGTTTCTTTCTTGCGCCCACTCCTTCCAAGCGCTTCTACGCAGGCAAGTGAGGCAAGAGTTTGTATGCGTGAGAAGGACTCAATTGATCGGTTCAATTGGCTCGTCATCGATTAGTTCGCATTGTTGCTCCAAAAGGGTTCTGTCCGGTATTTAAAAAACCTAAGGCCACTAATTCTAATTCGATAGTCAGTGGGACACCTGAACACTTTCATACAAGCCTCTAGCCTTTGTGAGTGCGCAAGCGAAGCCCCCTTGCGCTGGCGGTCAATAAATCCACGGCGGTTTTTATTTTCATACGCGCGCTCGATAATCTATGAAGAAAAAAAAGAGAATCTGTAGACAGGCCAGTCGCATCGACCTTTGCATAGTTCTGCACATCCTACTCAGCTTCACAGAATAATTGCTAAATAATACGCACCCACTTTTATACTGCATTTATATTTGTAGGAGGAAAACCTTACGACGGAATGAGCGGGGAAGAGGTCTATAACTTTGTTGCGAGTGGTCTACGGATGCGAAGAAAATCAGCTTTCACTTCAGAACTGTTAGTATTTCTAGCAGCAGGATGATATATTCGAAGACCTCCTGGCCGGACAAATCCTAAATATTGATATTGCTCCTTAACAATAGCCGCTTGAGATACCGTATCCCGATATATCTTGTATGAGGAGAAGGGTTCGTGAATCTGTCGCAGTGGTTTCTATATCTTATCCCTAAATTCTATATGCTATACTGATTGTGCTCTCTAAATTGACCTAATTTGTCTCTCAATTTTTGGTGCTAGCAAGGCTTGCGCTGATCTTGTAATCATTGAATGCTTACTTCAGAGATATCACAAAAGATGCTGTAGTCATAGCACCCAAAAAACTGAGGACATATATAGCCTACACATGGTATATACCTCTCTAGGAGAGTACAGAACACGTATACTGAATGGTTGGGAGTTTGTAAGAGTTTGCTGCTATATGATATCACAGTTTTCCCGGCTTTTCTTATAGCCGTAGTTACCAACTTCCTCTGACCTTTCCAGTTATAACATAATGGCTAGGAATTAAGTTAATTTGTCCGACGGGATTGTTAGTTACAAGGGCCAGTTCGTTAACTTAATAAAGAAACACGCACTGGATTGGTTTTTTAAACTTACTTTTCTTATTCTTTTGTTTTCCTTTATTTTGGTTTTAGCTATAAGCTTATGTCACAATGCTGGCACGAGGAACCATCTGAGCGACCGAAGTTTGGTTTAATTGCTTCTTGGATGGAAAATCGTTCTTCCCACTAGAGACATCATGAATGGCATTCTTATGTACTCCTTAACCCACTGAGAACATGTCTTTCAATTCAACAAATTGAGAAATTAAAGCGTAAAAATACAAGCCTGATAACACAGGTGACATCAATTTCGCGACTTCAACTGGGTTTTCCCCGCGAAATGTCGTCTAAGGTTCGAGGGCAAAAATTCCACACTGATGACGCGTCACTAACTGGGATCTAAGTGTTAATGCTTTTACTTAGATGAAGCAAATTTTCAGCCAATCAAAAGCACTCCCAAGATCTAGGTTCCTGACAGACGTCATTTCGCGGGGAAACCATTGGTAGCGTCGTGAAATGCCGGCTGTTTTCTCAGGCTAAAAGATACTTCATGTCCCTTTGTGACAGACAAATTTACTGGCAATCAAAACTGAGTGACTTTACGCTAATGTATTTGGCTAAGCCTTGAGTCGAACACTTAGCACCTAAATTTAAGTAATATTGTCCTTCATCATGGTCAATAAAATTGCCTGATAAAAATGAAAATGGAAGCTGCAAAGTTTATATATTAAATAAAAGTTTAGACAAATTTGCAAAACTGTGCAATTATGAAAGGGTGTGACTAAAAAGTGTTTCTTACTTTACATAACTACCCACAACATGACTTGGTGTATTCCTACGAATAGCTAAGTTGTAAAACTTCATGTCAGGTTAAGGTTCCAAAACGATACTGGCGTTGTTAGAGCCTCTGACACAAATGCGCATAAGAGTTATTCTTGGTTTGGAAGCACGTGACTAAGAGGTCATTGTCATTGACGAGACAAAATGCAAATTTTTCCCAGAATTTGCATTAAAAAATGAAAATAAAATAAAAAGACTTGGTTCCCAGCCGGTAACTGAGGAGCGGAGGGAAACGCAATCACTAATTTCAAATTGTCCCTCAGTTTTTGGAGAGCTACGAAGCAAGCAGAATCCCTAATACGCAGAGTGACGCAGTGCGCTTATATTTTTAGTACTATTTTGTACTCAAGAATACCTTTGCAGATAGCAGATAGTCCTCCGGCAGTTGCCCTCTATTTGTGTGTCAGCTTTCACAAATGTGTGTGTTAGCGTTGCATTTTAAGGTTTAATTTGCCCAGCTATTTGTGCAGCGAGTTCTACGGTCACGATTGACTTCAAAGTTGCAGATATAAAACGAGAGAGTTCTGAGGCTTATTTGCCGAAGTTAGAGAAAAATCTCTCTTAGGGTTGACATTTTTTGTGAAAATGTGGTTTAAAACATATCGCGATATCTCAAACGTTTTCAAACCTATAAGAAAATAAGTAGCATTTTCTTAAAGTTCAACCATTCTTTATTAAGGATGTCAAAAATTATCGAAATCGGTTAAATCTCTCCTACCGAAAATCGCAATTCAAAAAGCATAACCAACGCGCATATAAATAGGTTCGGGCCACCATAAGACATTTTCTAGTTTTCTTACAGCACAGTGTTCAAGTATTCTCTCTATTGTTAACATTAAAGTTAGTCAAGAGGGGACTTTTTTTTGTGTGTGTGTGTTAATCTCTGACAGCTCGATCAATTTCAAACGTACATGCAACACCGCAACGCCTACCCCCACCGTAATACCAAGAGTGAGGTGGGTGGTTGGAACCTCCTAGACGTTACGTTACGATATTTTGAAAAGTTTCTACCCTTAGTGGATCGATAGCATGTTATGTCGATGACCAGACGATGTCAATATTATGGGATACAAGAGCAAATGGGGCTGCTGGGGGCCAATGACGTCATCCAACATGTAGCACTTTTTAGAATTCTCACTTCGGTGAATTGCTAGTCAAAAATAAATAATGGCATTAGGTGTAGTGTACTTCCCCTTTAAATTTAACTTTTAAAAGCTTTAATTATTCAGAGGCTCATATCACAGCTATAAAATTCGTATCTGTTCGGTGATCCTAGGGCAAATTGGATCTTCTTGAAAATTGCAAGGGCTTCAATACAGTATTTTCCCGATTGATTGACCTAGAAGCAATAATACCATCCCTCCCATAGCAAGTGCTGCATTGTCGCGCGGACTCGGTCGCTAAGCTTGAATATTCACGTCGCGTAGTAATCCGTTAAATTGCCCCTCCAAAACAAAACGATTACTAGTAATTTTACAGACTCTGAAGTAAATGTTTAATTAAACTCTTGGACCAAACTTCCACTTAACAACTAACTGTCAAAAGATCTAATGTTTAACCGTCAACCGTCAAAGCTACCAGCCCAGAGGGACCCTATAATCATTTCCACACTGATCGAACACTGTGTATCCAGGTTTTCAAACTACAGTTTAGAAGTTTGACAATCATCCACCAAATCTTTCATCCTCTGGATCATTATCTTTTTCACTTCTTCTATTCCTGTTTCTAACTCTTGGTTTTCGTTATTTTTAAGATGCTCTAGGACTTTCTCTAAAACAGAATCTTTGGTATCATGTAAACGAGCGCATATCACAAAAGTAAATCCAAATTTCTCCCTATAAAGGTTGGTATAGTGTTTCAGACGCAGAAATTCTTCGTCGTTGATCAGTTTTCTTATGCCTGTTTCTGTTTGTTCCCTCTGCGAGTCGCATGACAGAGACTCCCAGCGAGCTGTAAGGTCAAGAAAGCTTCGCAAAATTCCTGCTTTTCCATCTTGAGGAAGGTCATCAATAAACTGGCACATTGTTCCCACGAAGTTTTCAAAGGAAGAAAAAGGTCTTCTAGACCACACGGCAGCCGCACAACATTACCAAATCTTACAATAAACTCTCTGTATCCAAGCTCATTGATGGATGAAACGGTTAGTTTACACGCCATTTGAGGTTTCAAGTAGATTTTCGCAGCCTAAAAAGGCTCGCTTCGCTCGCCAAGAGGTCGACTTGTAGCAAGTCTAGGTTTCAAGTTGTAGGTTGTAAAAACATATTACTTGCTTTGTGCATAAATAGGTCAGGAACAGATACTATTCAATGTGTAATGATGTAAACAATAAAAATGCAAGCAATGGAAATTTTATGTTTAACCTGGACATTTTAACTTATGACTGATCAACTGATACCTTCTCCTGTCATGAATTCGGTGTGAAAACAGGTATTCCGTTTCTACAGGTTTTTAGCAGGTCACATGGCCTTGTCTGTAATAACGAATATGCATGGCATGGTTTGGCATCTCCACCTTGACTGGTCTTGTTTGGAAATTACCAGGAAATAGTTTCTTTCCTTGTTTTGAATAAATTCTAGCTTGTTTCTCGTAATTTCAATCGAATTCATTCTGTAGATGGTATTACTTAAAAGTGAAAAGTATTTAAATAATAATAGTAAAGATAATTCCTGGTCACATCATAATTGTATTGATTCTTCAAGCTGTAAATGACCTGTAAGAAGTTGTTAGCCACCCGCGTTGTAATCAGACTCGAAAGTCTATGTTTTTGGTATCACATTTTTAATTCATAAGAAAGTTTAGCCAATCATATTCGGAGAAGAAGCTTGACACCTTCCCAGATCGACTACTCGACATAATTTTCAAACTTTTCTAACTAGTATTATAAATTAAAATTCTATATTAATAGAAATCAACATCTCATTATTTTTGTATTGCTCCCCATATTTTATTGACTGGGCAACCCAATCTTAATAGCGAAATTTGAGAAAGAAAATTATTTTGACAAGGTAACTACTCGAAGATTTTATGCAGATGAGTCACTTCTAGCCAACCACAGAAGACTTGCGTACGTAAGCATTAATTTGAGTTTATAGCTAGGAAGGTGGGTTTGCTAATCATTATAAAATCAAGGTATGGCAACGATGTTCAGAGAGTGTATTCCTGATATTGCAATGTACCTTGAGTAGTTGAGTTATGATCCTAGT